ATCTCATGAACCAGTGACCTAAATTGGATGGTTTTAGTACCATTCGATTCGTCTTAATGAGACGAATTGAATGATACTAAAATCATCTAATTTGAATCACTGGATCACATGCCAAATTTTTGCATTAAATAGATATCAATTCATAAAAATGGGCTGTTTTAATATGTAACACCTCATATAGTTTTGATTTACATAGTACGGTAGGGGTAAATAGCATAAGGGTAAATCCGTGATTATTAGAATGAAATTTTATACAGTTTAAAATATATAACCACAAAAAAAATACAAATTTTGAATTGACATTTTTGTTATGTTTTTTAGTTAGAAATATAAGTGGGTTGTGGTGTTAAATAGGATTTTCAATTTTCATTTAATCCGATTCATTACGATCTACAATAATAATTGTGTAATTTAAAGTCTATCTTGTCACATCAGTGATCCAATCGTGCATTGGAGAAATTAAATAAACAAAGGGTTTGATCGATATGCTCGAATTTTTACTTTAGACCTTGTTGTACAAGACCGAAATCTAATAAACAAAGTCGTACTACTTTGTGTATTTAATAGGGAAAGGTTGTCTGTGAGGGAGAGATCAGGTGTAGAAGCATGGAAGATCGTAAGAAACTTTAAGCAAATGTATAAGCAAATTTAATTAACCTACGTCACTCAGATAAAATTTTTGTGTGACCAATCGTATTTATTTACATATATTGATTTTTTTTTTTCTTATTGTGACTCAAAAACGAGTATATAAAATCATAATAATCAAGAGTTATAAAGATTTTTTTTAAACTATAACATATAGATGGAGAATGATTTAAAAACATTTTTTAAGAATAAAATAGTTAATCCCACCACATTCATAATACCATATTTATAATATTTAGACTAATCTTTTGGCATAAATAAAAAACAATTAATGGTAATTACATGAATCATTGTATCATATTAAGCTTATATTACTAACTAAAATTTTTTTTGAGCACAAACACGTACATGTAGATTAAAGGCGTCTAAATCTATTATTTCTTTTGTCATATCTTTAACTAATTTGTCGTATTCTTCACAAGAAACCCAACTATATTTATAAGTGAAGATTTAATACCGATTAGAGCAGTAGCGTAATCTTCAGCGAGCTACGTGTATATAATATTATTAATATTTTATTAATTGATATAGGCTAAATATTTTTATATTAAAGCTTTACCATTTTGATCGCTTTGCTAGCAAATTGACCGTCCAGTTGTTTCTTTTCTTCACAATGAACATTATGAAGACTTTTATTTGCTTCTAAATAATTTTGTATTCTATGACATACAGTAGTGTCTAAGCCACGTTCATGAAGCAGAATAGATACTAAAAGCATATTTATATAGGATAATGTTAGAATATTACATTGTAAAGGACCATCTTGACGAATGAAATTGATATAATTCTTACAGCAATCAATAATCTTTTTTGTAGCGGGACCCATTACGCTATATTGCAAATCGTTTTCTACTAACTGAAAAAGAAAAATATTATAATGGATGGTGTTTATTTTTATTAATATTTTTTAAGATAAAATAATACAAACCTCTAGGTAACCACCAGGTTTTAATACACGGACTAATTCATTAATCACAGATACCCATTTATCTAAAGGAATTCCGCTTAATAAAAAACGTTGAAATATAAAGTCGAACGTATTATCATCAAAAGGTAAACGTTCTAAAACATTTGCCTGAATAAATTCAGTATTAGGAGGTTTATTTTCATCAGTTTGAACTGGAGCAATATCAAGTCCGATAAATTTAGGTTTCGAATATTTATTTGCCATTTCAAGCAGCCAATAACCTTCACCTGTTCTAATGATTTAAATGACGATTAATAAGTATAATAATAATTAATAATAATTAATAATAAAATAATTATCATTATACGTAATTGTAATTAAATAAAACGTTTACCCTACATCTAGAACCTTTGTTCCATCCCGATTAAGGAGATCTTCAATTGGAGAGAAAAAGATACTTTGCCAAATACATCTTTCTATATAATACAGCAAACATAACCTATCGCATTCTTCATCATCGTTAGGTAAAAAATATACAAAGTTTTTTTCGTTATGATATTTTTTGCCATTAATAGAACGAAATTGATCAGATATAGACCAGTTCGATGAATGGTTAGATGATGAAAATACTTCTTTAGGGTCAGGAGGATCAGGAGGATCAGGAGGATCAGGAGGATCAGGAAGAGGTATCTTTCTTTTTAGTACACTACCACAAATTCCCATAACTTAAAATTATTTCTATCTTCAAAAATGTTGACAGATGTTGGTTTTTATTTGTTGTTAATGGAAATACTAACACGTACCAGTATGTCGTATCTTGATGTGATTAAAACCAATTACCAAAACAATTGCCATATTGGGAAACAGCACGTTGGGATTGGTAAAAAATCATCTTTTAAATAAATATGGGATCAGTTTATCTAAACTACCGGATAATCCGAATTTACTAATCACTTAGCTTGTTCGATTATACTCTAATAGCATATCGATATTGAGTTTTAATTTGTTGTCTGCACGATAATATTTATTTATTTGATTACATATATGCCTCATCAATTTTCAACAGGTTTAATTTCTACTTTTCAATGAAAAACAAACAATTAAAGTTAATGTATTATATCTTAAACTGTTCAAGGTTATATTGCCTACAATTATAGTTCATGCATTTGCTGAGTACTTTATTATTTGAATGATTATTTGAATGAATAAGGCGTAACAGTAAATCCTGCCATCAAATTTTATAAATTTTATAAATCTAATTAATTTTTTATAAATCTGATAACAAATTTTTCCTTGGCAATACCCATATAGTACAGTAATTCTTGAACATTCTCATTAACGTTAACGTTAATAGGCAATTCAAAACAATGATTATTTTTAATTAAGGTTGGCTCCCGATATATCATATGCAATGGTGAAAATATTAAACATTGAATAAGAATTCATTACATGACTAATTTAAGAATGATCTAAGCTTTATAAACAATTTTTTTATTAATTTTTCTTGCTTATTGATCTTTAAAGAAATTCTTTTCACTTAATTTTGATGTTAATAGAATATTTTTTACAATTAATCACTAATAAATTACTCGCTACATCGATATATTTTTTAATTCAGTATTATCTTAATAAAGTTTTGATGGTTGATCCCATAACACGTTTCGCTTAGCTAAAATTCCGTAATGAACCTCCGGATAAATATTTTATCCTGGTTGTGTTACCACTAGAAAATAAGGATGTATTAAAAGATTGTGATCGACATAATACGTAATTATACGTGCTTTAACCAAACCGTGTAACATTCAAGGTTTTAACTACCAATCAAAAATGATGAGTACAAAGTTTCATGATTAAATTGTTTCGTTTAATAAACATTTAATTATAAATTTAACAAATTAGACAAGTATACGTATTCGGCTAAAATAAAGTTGCTCTAAAAAAAGAAAAAAATAAAATGCGTTAACGCGAAAGTCCGATAAATCGAATATCTAAAATAGGATTGGACTCGTAATCCAATAAATATACGGATTATCCGATAGATACAAGAATGAATATTATTCATTATCTTTAGCGTTAGTAATTGAACACTCGAATCAAGCACCGCTCAAAATTCAGTTCCTGTTTTAAAACATGCTTGCTTACTAATTCTTCGAAGTTCCATTGTACATGTGCGTCAAATTAAAATCTTCGTTAGTCAAGTTAAAATCTTTGTTAGATTAAATTCATTATTATTCTAACTAATAAAACCTGCATTTAAATTTTGATCTGACGTCATACACATGCAAGCCCTATTCCTGATGTGATTACAAATGCCGTAACAATAATCCGGATTTTTAATACAGTAGCAGTAGTACAGAACATGAAATAGGAAATTTTTGTGTGCCACCAAGGGAAAATGAGGGAATTTATAACTTATCGAATTTAGTTCAAAATAATCTGTTCAGTGGCATATGATGCGTTATTAAATTTAGTCATATATTATTTGTTGATAATTTCACCAAGTTATATGCTTAAATTCCAAGAGTTTCTCCTCGCAACACTAATGTGTTTAAAATAAGTGGGACCTTGAGCATGCCTCGGGACTAATATCATGCGATCACAAGATAATCATGCATGATTTGATGATATCATTCTAACCTTTGGTTATTGTATTATGTTGTTATGCATTATGCGTATATATTTCAAAATTTTATTAATAAACTAATTTATTACTCTTGGATAAATATTTTATTATTATCAAATAAAATAATTAAAAAATAAATATTTGGGATCTTTACTAACAAAATCATCCTTCGGGACATGTAAATCATTGTCCCAAAGGGTGCTTTTGTTAACAAAGATCCCATTAATAAAGCTAATACCAAATTAATTTTCTAATTTTGTTTTAAAAACAATCTAACAAATTTGATTTAAAAAAATTTAATAGTAAAAATGTATAATAAAAAATGGGTCGAAAAATAAATACTTATATATAATAAAAATTTTCTTGAGTTTAAATTTGAATAATCTAATTGCTATATTATCAAAAAAAAATATGCAAAACCTGTTGCATTATCTAATTAAAGTTTGATTATCAAACATTGCATGAAATGAAGTAGAAATAAAAATGTTCTCTCCACGCTTCGACAATAATATATAAACTATTAAATAAATAATAAATTATAAAATTTGTAACTTATAATTCAAATTATTGATATTATAATTTTTAATCGACGTTCAATTCAATTATCGCTGAATTTCCTTCCCTTTTTTCTTTTTCTTGAGCCCACAATTCGAGTTTAGAAATGTATTTCCATCCTTCTGATGTTTTTTTCTTCGAGAGTATTTCTAGACCTTTAGAATTCAAATTAAAATAATACATTCAAAAAAATAAATATATTATTAAGGTGAAATATATTTAGAATCCATCAGAGATGAAATTTACGGGTAAATATTTTTATTAATTCTTATAAAGTTTAGAATTAGGGCCTTAAGTTACTGATATTTTTACTTGGTATCTAACATTGATTGCTCAAGATATTTTGAGAAATAGCATATTCAATGAAGTTTATCTCTGATGAGCATTAGAAAACTGATTTTAAAAAAAACAATAAGCACAAACCTTTTGGGTCTAATATTTCATTTGTAAGTAGTAATATTACTTTCCGTCTATAAGAAATCAAATCAAATTTATTAATTAGTAATAGAATCTTTATGTCGCGATTCTACCTAATCAAAAGTTTCTGTTGGTTTAAGCTGATAGTATTTAGTTGTGCCTCTGGCTAGCCTATCAGATAATTTAAAACGTCTTGTTTGTATATTCGTGCTGTGTTACATAAAACTACCGGTACGTTTTTCGTACGTACGGTACGTGCGTGCGTGCATAAAACTGTTAAGCAATTTTACATTTAATTGTGTATTGGATCGCAGCATTATAGTGCATAATTATGTGTAAGCCTCGGTAAATTTGATTCATGCAAATATACCCGATAAATAAAGAAATTTAATTCTTTAAATTAGAGGTGCGATTTGCATATCTGTTTAGATAAACGGACATTATCCGACAGATAATCGAATAAACCGGAAAATTTTAACCAAATAATACTTGTCGTGCAGAAATTTACCATGGAGTTTATCTATTTTGTATTACGATGTAAGCACAATAAACTCAAATTAAAATTCTGTTAGCCAATGTCAATTTGCCAAATATGATCATACAGTAAATTGCATGAGGGACATCCGGATATCCCATATAATTAGCAAAATTCAGATTATTCGTTCGTACTGTTAAATTTGTTCCATCTTTAATTCAAATATTGATGGTGGAACTACAATATGGATCATATTATTAATCGACGAAATAATATTGGCAAAATTTTTGTAATGCCAGTATTTTTAAATGCGTGAGAAAATTGTATGAACATTTAAGAATCACTTTTAATATATAGTCCGCACTCATGATTGTCACCTGGATATGACAAATAACAACTAATCGGTTTACAGAGGTTTGCAAAATGCAGTAGTTATTATTATGATGATTGTAGCGCAGGTAAACGCTTCTATTACGTTTAGGGTGTCAAACAATCCTTTGAGATCGAGAACTGATTAATTATTTTTAAGAACCAGTCAGGACTCAACTCCCAAAAGACAGTTTGGCAAACCTTAAACGTAATATAACACTTAACCGTCCACAATCACAATCCTTTACGCATAATGCAAACCGCAATAAGTCAGTTTGATGAGGTCCATAGTAATTCAGGAATTAAATTTTTACAGTTGACCAAATTTTGATATCTCGTCCAATTGGAATAATTTTGATACCATTTGAATTCTCTCAATGAGAGAATTTAAATAATTCAAACTGGATCATTAGATCACGAGATAACATGATTTAATCAAAATGTAAGAAATTTTTGACTCTAAACTTCTTTAAAAATCTTAAACCGTTTAATTATTATTTATCACCATGTGACATCAGGATGTGGACTATACTAAATGTGATCCCAAAGAAATCCCGACGACGACTGTCAAATTTTATTGAATTTCTGAATTTGTTTATTGCGATTTGCAAAACTCTGGATCCCATTGGTCATTTGAGTGATGATCGTCACGATTGTGATTGCGACGAAGTACTTCTATTGCGTAACAAAAAATCCTTTGAAATTGAGCTCTGATCGATTACTTTAGAGATTAGTCAGGGCTTATCCTCAAAGATCGCTTGACGCTCTTACATTCAATTGAAGTACAGTATTTTACCGCACCATAATCACAATCAACTGTGACGCAGTTTATCTTCGTCACAATCACAATCGATTGTGGAATGATGACCATCACTCAAACGATCAATGGGATCCAGAATTCATTTGAGTCCATCAGAACGACAACGAATTTTACGGGTCATGTGATGTTCGACAAAACAACTCTGTATTCGTTAAATTTAGAGTTAATGTTATATTTTTTACGTTTTGTAATGAAAGGTATATAAAGGAAGATTAGCTTTTTTGCAAAACAAACGTTTGTTTTTGAATTTTGGTTAAATTTGTCGCAGATCACGTGGCCCGTAAAACTCGTGGTCGACCTGGAATTTTGCAAATCGCAATAAATCAACTTTTACGAATTTACTGAATTTAACAGAATTTAAGCATAAAAAAAAATTTATTTGAATTTGAATATAGCTAAGGGAAAATGATAACTCAGTTTTTTAAACATATTGACTGTTATTCAGCCCTTCTGATCGACAATGTACTGTACGTATTGGGCTTTAAGTTATATTAAATAATATTGATATAATTTAAAACTCGTTATGACATCGATTAGAAGGGCTGAATGAGACTAATAATCTATAATATATTTAAAAAACTAAGGTGCCCTTTTCTCTTGGAAGCAATCATTTAGTCATGCTGTTGTCGAGATTATCTGTCATTAGCTTTTAACCATCTGATCGAAAGTATCTCGATAACCACCTAACCAAATTCGATAAAAATTTTTGGTTGAATTGTATAATTCTAGAATTCAAATAAATTTTTTTTTATTTGAACCTGATCTTGCCTTTGCTTTAGTTCTTCTGCTTACTAGTGTTTTCGTTCATAGGTGAATTTTTTCCATGATCTCAAGATTCATAATTTTGATTAATCAATCTATCTCTTGGGCTATATGCTCTATTGAACAAATCCCAATTTTTACATGTAAATATTTAGGACTTGTAGCCATAACCTGATCTTAATGACAAAGTGTTTGGCATTACGGCTAACCAGAGGCAATCTCAATTCAATCATCACTGATATTAATAATTAATAAATACGTATATATGTACTCATTAATATACACACCTTGCACGGCTTATAGCCACATTCCAACGATATGGATCGAATAAGAAATTGCATTTTCGAGCAATTTCATTAATATTATGAAATCCGAAACATGCAATGACAAGGTCTGCTTGTTGTCCTTGCATTTTTTCGACAGTATCTATTTTTAAGTTAAAGTTAGGATTTTCTAAATAGGTTTTAACTTTAGAATGGATGGCAAGACGTTGACTATGTTGTGGTGTAACAATAAACAACGATGGTTTATCGTTATCGTTATTTAGCTGTTGATTTGCATCAAAATATCCCGATACTATCTTAGAAACAATGTCTGCTTCTGCTAATAATCCTGATTTTTCATGGTTATTTAATATTAACTTTACTAAAGTTATAGCTGTTCCAGGAAACAGTATCTTTCTTATATCCGGATCTAATAATTTATTATAATCCAAATTCAGTTTTAAAGTGGGATTTTTTGAAATGTAGTTATCACCATATATTTCTTGGAAAAAACTGTTGAGCTCTTCATTCTATAAAAATAAAACCATGTTATATAATAAATTCACTTAACTATATGTGTAACAAGGATTTAAAGATATTCATACCATTCGCCAATTGTCCTTAAGTTGAAGTGTGCAAGGACCATATTCGTGTTTTTGTCCTTTTTCCAGGAAAAAATTACCTTCATTAAAGGAAGTGCCATTCTCTTTTCTCATTAAACACTGTTGAATAGATCCAAAAATAAAAGGGTGATCATCTGGAAAAGTGGGATATGTATTTTTAATGATAGGTCCAAGTTGCTACAAAAAATACGCTTGTATCATAATTCGTAATTAAAATTGTTAATAAGCACTATATAAATAATGTGATTTTACCATGTGATCCCCAGCAATAATTAACTTTCCATGATCCGGATCCAAAATTTCCAGGACGACACAAGCATCCGAAGTCAGGAGCTAAAAAAAAATCATTATACGTATTTAAAATGTTCATTTATAATAAATCTTAATAAAAAAATTTAAATGTCGTATTTACCTGCGATCCTTCATCTATAATCATAATATCACAGCGACATTCGTTATGGACCTTATACCAATTCCATACTGTACTTCCGATAACGATAGGTTTATCACCTTTGATTTTGTTTTTCAATTGCTTAGGCCTACAATCTTTTATGCCACCAAGCGATTTCTTTAATGACTTTTTATCATTTGTAATCCGAAGCATTGAAAAATCACTTGTTTCTTTACGTAATTGAGAAATACGTTCTAACAGATTATCTATAGCGGATTTGGTATAAGCAGTAATTCCAATAATACAATTTTTTTTTTCGGTACGAGGTATTACAGCAGTCAGGTACCAGGTAACAAACAACGCAAGAAAATGAGTTTTTCCAGATCCCTTATTAAAAACGATTATTATTATTCAATATTATAAGATTTAAAACAAAAACATTATTAAAAAAGTATGAAAAAATTTATAATTATAATTACTGGTGGACCCCAGACAATTTGTAACCTTTTTTCTAACAATTCGGTTGCAATGTCTTTTTGCGATGGAGACATGGAGAATTTATCGCATAGTTTCAAAGCAGTGTCCTTTAATTCCTTTGAATAAGTATATTTTTCAGATGAAGGGGATCCCCATGTATTTGGATCTTTTAATATGTTCTATAAACAGTTTCATAGATTATTTAATTTGTTTTTTTAATTAATTTACAATATAAATTCTCACCAAAAATAAAGAATTTTCTTTCTTATCAATCTTTTTAAGCATTTCTAAAATCTTATTAGTGTTGAGATCCAAGTATCTTTTATATAGACGATACGTGGCATCTTTTTTAAGCTCCAAATCAGTAAATTTTCCTTTTAATTGGATAGTAATTCCTGTGGAACAATTATCAACATCATCAAGAGAAAAAATTGGCAATTGACAGTCATAGCTTTTATTTTTATATTTTATATCAGAGAAACGGATAGCTTTAAGAGTTCCCTTAATAACAAATAAAACCAAATCATTATATAATTGCATAATCTTAACTATATAAATTAATAACATACCTGCAGAGTATCTTCAACCAAAATGAATTCTTTGAGTATGGTTTTTTTGAACGTGAAGGAATCTTCGTTGCAAACATTGAATTGAGCTGTTAATTCTTTAGATTTATTAGGATCACTTATAATTTTGTCAAACTTAATTCTACACGTAGCTTCTTCCTGAGCCAAATCTTTTAATCGATCTCTTTTTTGTTGAGAACTTGATGTAAATGCTTCAAATTGTTTAAAAAAATATAGCTTTCTCAAATAATGATGCTTAAAATCTTGAATAGCTTGAACATTGGAAACAACAAATGCTTGAGGGGAAAATAATAATATCGATTCAATATCATTTGTCGACTTGTTTAGAAGTGCATAATATGCATGAATAACAGAATTAACAAATTTTGATCTCATGAAAAGAATTTTATTAATCACTTCGTTTTCAGTTGCAGAAACCCATGTTGCATATATATCTTCGAGATCAATATTATCTATATAATATTCCAAATCGTTTGGTTTTTGATAGTATTTTAAAGTAGGTTTCACCATTTGTTCCCAAACATCGGTGACTCGATAAAAACCGGGAACATTTATTGCAATATTTTCTTTCAATGATTGTTCCAGAACAATAAGTCTAGGAAACTCCCTAAATTCATCAGCAAGTTCCGAACTTTTATAATAATCATTCTCAGTAGCTAACAAGAGAGAACAATCTTCAAAAATATTAAAGAGACATAGTATTGCTTTATGCTGGTCACTTTCAGAAATTTGATTTGGATCTAATGTTATTAATTTAAGTAATGAGTCTTGAATTGCAATCTTTTCTTTTTCAGAATAAACAAATATACATGCACGGGAATTGTTCTTGCTTAGAAAATTGAACGTCCTTTCTAAACATGTAATAAATTCGCTCATCAAAGAAATAAATGATGATAATGTTTCATTTTCAGATTTGGAATTGGATTTAGCATACTTAAATTGGTTTATGATATTTCCATTACTAGCATAAAGACATATAGACCAACTAAAAGGACGTGATACAAAATTATCCAAAGACATTGCAATTACAAGATTGTGATCGGTTCGCCGAGGAAAGGTTGCTGTTGGAATATGAATAAACTATATAAAGCAAAGAATTAAAATTTGGTTTGTCAAACAATTCATAATTCGAAATTAAAATAATAATTATTATTATTACCTGGGCACCTGATTTAGATTCAAGATACGGTGATTTTTTGTTATATTTGTCATATTTAATAATCTGTTTTACTTTGTTATCATTTGGACCATTTTTTATGTAGCTAGCTAATTCTTCAATATCTGGCTCATGTTTATATAGTCTATCACCACGTCTTTCATTTCGAAGAATTTGTTTCAAGTATAACCCCTCTTCTATGGATGAATATGCGATCATGGCCACTGTCCTCTTTGCTTCATCACGACATACATTTACAAATTCGCAAGTTTTACAATGTGAATTGTAGTGCCATGAAACTTCTGGAGTTGATATTATTTGTGGAAGTTCGTTGCATAAAAACCGTTTAACTCTTGGAAGGATCAGGTCGATAGAGAACGTATGAAGTTTTAAGCCATCTGCTGATGGTAAAAATATTCCGCCTGTTCGAGAAATTGAAATTTCGCACATATGATTTTTGATTATATGATCTAAAATATAAGCGTACGTGGTAACTTGGAACTTAAATAATAAATCAAGTTTAGTGACAATCAAAATTAAAATTCTATTATTAAAAAAAAACGCTAATACCATGTTAAACCGATTTTACCTGATGCGAAATGCGTGTTTCCTTTGTCGCTTTAGCATCCCATATCATCAGACGCTTTTCACCATCCTCCTCAATAACTTCTATGAAATCAGGAATAAATGGTCTTAACTTATAGTTCTTGATTCCTAATTTATCGTATAAGTCATCTGGGACTTCGAATTTTAGTTGGTATAGGAATCTTCCTATTTGAGCATTTTGTAAAATTTCTAAAGAATAGCTTGCTTTATTGTAGTCGTCTACATTTTTTAACTGAACGACAACTTTTTTTTCAAATTCTTTGCCTCTATTTTGTGAGGCTTCTTTTAATGTTGAATGACCCGTTTTTTGTTTTTTATAACCATTTTTTTTGATATTTTTTTCTTTATTTTGTTTTGTCTTATCGATATTTTGCAATAATTTATTACAATAAAAGTTATAATACTCCGAAAGTTTTGAAATTGTGAACGAAGAAATTTCTGAAGTAGATTGCTAGATCGGAGTTAAATAATGCATATTTATACCTTAGCTTTTTCTAATGAAAATGTCTTTATGATTTAAAATAACTACCATTTTTTTGCTGACCTGTGACATCTTTTATGAGTTAGTTCAGATAATAATCGATCTGTTTTATTAGTTACGTTTTTTTATGAAAAGATTTTTGGTTTTTTTTTGCAAGTTTTGACAGATCAATAGAGATCAAAAAAGTCGGTTTTTATAATGTTTTTCTGGCTTTATGAATGCTATAGTTTACCAACTACCTAGCCAAATTTGGTGATTGCGACTCTTTCTGAAAGAATTTCAAAATTAAGGACTCCGAATAAAATAGGTACGCATTCATTTTTAGTGATCTATAAATATTTCTCATTGAAAAAAAAAAAAGATTACAACTTTCATCTGAATCACCAGATACTTCTTGATTCCAGAATTTAGAAACATAAGATTTTTTTTAGCCATCGCCTATTTTCGAATAACCCGATTCTACAAGTTTGTAAATTTAAAGAATTAGATTTGGTTAGGTTGTTGAGTTATCCATGATTAAAGCTTGTATTCACGCATTATAGACGGGTACAAACTTGCAAAATCAAGTACATAGATAGGATCCATGTAATACCCGGTCTTTGGGTCGATTACCTCCGCCCCTTGAAATTTCTTCTTATCTTTGATACCATACGATACCGGCCTGTCGTTATGTTCCTTGTTATACTCTTTAGCTATAAGGCAGTTCAACATGCTCGTTTTACCACCA